ATCGTACTACTTGGATAGCATAAAAAAAACATTCTTCCATAATAGACGAGCTTCTGAAACATTCACAAAGATGATTCGAACCCAACCAGCGCCTGGTGAGACCTCGTAAACCAGCGCCTGGTGAGACCTCGTAAACCAGCGCCTGGTGAGACCTCGTAAACCAGCGCCTGGTGAGACCTCGTAAACCAGCGCCTGGTGAGACCTCGTAAACCAGCGCCTGGTGAGACCTCGTAAACCAGCGCCTGGTGAGAGACGCGTAAACCAGCGCCTGGTGAGACCTCGTAAACCAGCGCCTGGTGAGACCTCGTAAACCAGCGCCTGGTGAGACCTCGTAAACCAGCGCCTGGTGAGAACGCGTAAACCAGCGCCTGGTGAGAACGCGTAAACCAGCGCCTGGTGAGAACGCGTAAACCAGCGCCTGGTGAGAACGCGTAAACCAGCGCCTGGTGAGAACGCGTAAACCAGCGCCAGGTGAGAACGCGTAAAACAGCGCCTGGGAGAACGCGTAAACCAGCGCCTGGTGAGAACGCGTAACCAGCGCCTGGTGAGAAACGCGTAAACCAGCGCCAGGTGAGAACGCGTAAACCAGCGCCAGGTGAGAACTCGTAAACCAGCGCCAGGTGAGAACTCGTAAACCAGCGCCAGGTGAGAACTCTTAAACCAATATTTATTTTCCAAACGATTATCAGGCTTCGGCGAACAAATACCTCATGCTCGTGATTATTAATCATTTTAATTATTTACTTATTTAATTAAATGAAATAAAATGGTACAATTTTTAATAATTGTAAATTTATTCAAAATGTTAATAATTAAACCTACCAATCCCATCTACCATATATAAAGCATGTAAATATACACATATTTGATTTTTCTCATATATATATATATAATATATATAATATATAAATAATATATATATAAAACTATATATATATATATATATATATAAATTATATATATATATATTATATATATATAATATATATATATATTATATATATATATATATATATATATATATATATATTATATATATATAATATAATTATATATATATTATGTGTGTGTGTGTTCAATTCTTGATGAAAATGAAAAAAAAAAATGACAACATGAAAAACAAATGACGTATTTATAGTCACTATAAATTCCTAAGGCCAAGAGAGGAAAAAATCGGTGTAAAAACACTACATCAAACTACACCCAGATGAAGAAACAACACAACTAAAACAAAAAATGATAAACTCAAAAACACTAAAGCACAACTACAAGAAAATGAAGTATAATAGAAGCTTACAAGAAGCTGGAGTGTGAGCGCGACCACTCACTCACTCCCCCCTCACCCGACCCCCCTCTTCCCTATCCTGGAGGGGTGGAGGACCGTACTGGACGCCAGCCACTGGACGGCTGGCAAGGTCTTGCACCTCATGCAAGCCAACTGCCTATCCAGCCATGAATGTTTGTATTCCTTGTAAATTACACCTAGGTGGGTGTGGGTGTGCGCGCGCGCTATCACACTGCCCGGTGCTCGGGGTTCCTGTGATATTCCCGTCCTGATCACAGTCCGTCAGGACCTCCCCTCATCATCCCCCCGGCCCAGTTTCTACCCCCTTTCCCCACCTTACACGGCCTTATTATTTAAACTAAAGTTCTTTTATAGCTCCTTTTTTTTTTTTTGTCTCCTATTTTTTGGGTTCGTCACCAAAGGGGTCGCTGAATTTGCTTCATTGGTAATGAATCACAGGCCTAAAGAGCTGAAAATGCAGAATTTCAATCTGCACCACAACAAAACTCTACTTCTACTCTGATACGTGGGCGACCATTCTGCTTCAGACTGCCAGCAGCGGCGTCTAACAGCCCGGTTGACCAGACCACCAATCAGAAGGCCTGCCTGGTCAGGGACTATGCCGCGGGGATGCTGGTGCTGGGAGTCACCTCAAGGCGTGAACAGTGTCCCCACCAGACTCCAGACAGCTCCTCCAACATTGTTCCTAATCGCGCACTACAGAAGAGGGGGAAAAAGGATGGGGAAGGGGGAACTGAAAATCCAGTACAGTACCACACAAGTTGCCTTAAAGGTTTGGCTTCCCCTATCCCCCTCCCACGCTACAGACAAGGGACTGGATCTCCAGAAGCACTTATACCCCCGCCCCCCCTCCTCCCACAGTACAGACGGGGGAAGCAGAGCCGGCCACAAGGCAACAAGTGACAAAGGCACCTGTTTTCACCGAGGCATTTGCGAGCAGCTCAAAAGCGAGAACCATTTTCACACCAGTGGTCCACGGGAGAACGAAACGTCCGGCCCCAACTGTGACAAATGACTGGCCAGGGGAGGAGGGTCCTGGGAGGGAGAAGACATGGGAGAGGAAGAGAGGTGCAGGTGGGAGGGAGAAGACATGGGAGAGGAAGGGAGATGCAGGTGGGAGGGAGAAACCGAAGAATCACTGCTTGAGAGAAGAGGAGAAACTGTTAGCAAGATGCAATAGGAACAAAATAAAAACAAAGGGAAGGGAGGCAGAGGAAATACGAAAGAGGATGAGAACAGAGTACCTTGCCGAGGGGAAGAAGCGAAAAGTGAGGGGAGAGTCGACAGTCGTAAGGGCGAAAACGTGATGAAACAGAAGAGATGGAAGTAGACAGGGGACAGAGACAGAATTCGAAGGAGAGAAGAAAACAGAGGTGCAGGTCGCCGAGGACAGGCGGGGGAGTAAGGGAGGAAGCCTGTTTAAGATGCATAACGTTAAGTGGGAAGGAAGAGAGGGGAGGGAATCATAGCGCTAACCTAGAGTGTACAGCCGAAGATGCAGGCTGGTGGGAGGGAAGACAGTGGCCAAGCAGAGACGTAGGACAGGAAACTATCGAGAATATAGCAGGAAGGACGGGAGAGCTGGAGCTGGGGGAGAGGCATGGAGAGGGAAGGTGGGATGAGCCAAGATCAATCACACAAAGAGGAAGACGAAAATTTCCGCGCTAAAAGCTTAGACGAATATTTAATATGAGCGGCGCCACGAGATGACACCGTGGCACAATTATTTAACATGAGGGGGGGGGGGGAGGGGGGAGCACTTTGCTCAGGCTACCACAGTAAACTACAGGGAACCCATACAGGGAATGGTAGAGGGTTCAATAACTGCCTAAAGTGAAGCCATGCCACGTCACTGTTTAATACAAACATAACCTAACTGAAATAGTTGAGAAATTTGGTATATATACATACATATATATACACACGGAGGCGCCAGATACGTCAGGGTGGCGTCATTGTTGTACAAGACACTGTATGAACACTACTGGTACCAGCAAGAAGCCAGGCTCAGTGTTACACACTGTATAACTAATCATCTTACCCTACAGTAAAATACGTTACATTCTGTATGTCAAATGTGACATTACTAAATATATAGCACAACAAGGATTCCGGTATTATTCATTTATTTATCCATCTTGCAAATTAAGCTTTGCTATGCACTTTCGTACTATTTCCTCCACTATAAACTAACACACGAGCTATGATTCGTATCCTTTAGTACACATTTCTCCAGTTGGTATCTAGTCATTCTGGCTTAGTGGTTTCTCTTTATTACAAAAACTTAAACTTTGCGCGTCGAGACTGTGACAAACTATTTATTACGCGTATCACAACATTCACCCAAACATGTCTTCAATAATGCGACACCTATTTATCGAGTCCTAAACTACTGGTAACGTTAATTCCATTTGGTAAAACATCAGAAAATGTCTAATGGCAGGCAGGCAGGCAGGCAGGTGGGCGGGAGGGCGGGATCAGGCAGGCAGGCGGGCGGGAGGGCGGGATCAGGCAGGTGGGCGGGATCAGGCAGGCGGGCGGGCGGGAGGGCGGGATCAGGCAGGCGGGCGGGATCAGGCAGGCGGGCGGGAGGGCGGGATCAGGCAGGCAGGCGGGCGGGAGGGCGGGATCAGGCAGGCAGGCAGGGGCGGGCGGGAGGGCGGGATCAGGCAGGCAGGTGGGCGGGCGGGATCAGGCAGGCAGGCGGGCGGGATCAGGCAGGCAGGGGGGCGGGATCAGGCAGGCAGGCCTCCGGGAGAAGATGAACGAGGTGATGGCTGGCTTCCTGCCTGCCTGCCGCCCTCTACTCTCCAACAATTCTGACCCCCCCCCCCTCCCACTGCCTCGCTTCTACCACCATGCTTCCTTCACTCGCCCCGGTCACCAACAACCACTCCACCAACACGACTACAACCACCCACCGATACAACCACCAATGTGTCAGCAGCACCAATCATCCCTCTCCCCCACCCACCTCACCCGACAACTGAAGACTTCATCACAATACATATTCTGGTATCCAGCTCTTGGTTAGAATGTGTGGCCAACCCCACAGCAACCCTCGTGTCCGCTGGCGTCTAGGAACACCAGATCAATGTTGCACACTACAAACAATTCAACACAATAAGATGCAATACAAGGAAATGCAATATAAAAATAGGACTGCAAGCACACCGCGTAATTTGGCCAATTTGGAAAACACCTCATATTAAATATATATAAATTTATATACACTAGTTTTATTTTTAATCGAGTGCAATGCCGAGCTTGGAGTCTTCTTTCTGGCGACCGGTCCTCCACACTACCTTGGGTTCCCTTGTCAAATGACCACTCTCTCCTCGCCTCCAGCCGCCATCATCCCCGCCCTTGACATTAAAGACAATTATTCCCGACGACTTCTGAAGCACCATTCATTTAGTCTGGCACGTTCCTGAAGCACCCAATACCGTAAGCATTTCGCAGCCTTACTGCCAACTCAATACCCCGCTGCAAATTAAACAATTGATTCAGTTTTCTATGCAATTCTCGGGCAATTTCCAATTAATACGCAGCCTTTTCCATCAGACGATCAAGTCTTGTCTACATGTCCTCCAGAATGTTTAGTGCATCTGTGACTTTCAATATTCAGACGATGTATTGTTGGCGAGAGTCGTGAAAACATACACAACACTGTTTCATATTCTACGGCTCGCTTTTAAATGAGCTCTGATGGGCCGGCTTGGCCCAGACGTGCCGACGGGCCGGCTTGGCCCAGACGTGCCGACGGGCCGGCTTGGCCCAGACGTGCCGACGGGCCGGCTTGGCCCAGACGTGCCGACGGGCCGGCTTGGCCCAGACGTGCCGACGGGCCGGCTTGGCCCAGACGTGCCGACGGGCCGGCTTGGCCAGACGTGCCGACGGGCCGGCTTGGCCCAGACGTGCCGACGGGCCGGCTTGGCCAGACGTGCCGACGGGCCGGCTTGGCCCAGACGTGCCGACGGGCCGGCTTGGCCCAGACGTGCCGACGGGCCGGCTTGGCCCAGACGTGCCGACGGGCCGGCTTGGCCCAGACGTGCCGACGGGCCGGCTTGGCCCAGACGTGCCGACGGGCCGGCTTGGCCCAGACGTGCCGACGGGCCGGCTTGGCCCAGACGTGCCGACGGGCCGGCTTGGCCCAGACGTGCCGACGGGCCGGCTTGGCCCAGACGTGCCGACGGGCCGGCTTGGCCCAGACGTGCCGACGGGCCGGCTTGGCCCAGACGTGCCGACGGGCCGGCTTGGCCCAGACGTGCCGACGGGCCGGCTTGGCCCAGACGTGCCGACGGGCCGGCTTGGCCCAGACGTGCCGACGGGCCGGCTTGGCCCAGACGTGCCGACGGGCCGTCTCGTCCTCACTGGAAACACGAAGCCCCTCACTAAGGCGAGGAAAACCAAACGATTTCGGCACTAACCAAACCAAAGATGGGTGACCGATTAGCCAAAACAAAGATGACACAGCTTTCAATTGCTGCTAAGAAAGATGGGAGTGGGAGCCCCAGATTCCCCTGAAGATGATGCAAGAAGCCAGACAAGCAAATAATGGAAGGACGAGCGGCGAGGAAAAAAAAGAACGCTGAAGAGATATATATAAAAAGAGAGAGAATAGTCACGAGGAGGAGGATGCGTACTCGGAGAAGATAGGTGATAACGATAGATGGCGAAAAAGGGACAAGAAACAAAATATATTCCCCAGAGTTGGAGACCAAATAAAAGGAGCAAGTTGAAGAACTAAACTTGCCTGCGAATCGATACACAAATACTTTTAGCCTTTTTGCGTGCCTAGGGAACGGAAGGCAGCCGCTCCTACGCCAGCACCACGCTTAAAACCCTCCACACACACAAATATTATACAAATATATTATATATATATATATATATATATATATATATATATATATATATATATATATATATATATATATATATTATATTATATATAATATGAATATGAATATGTACAAATAACATGCATATATACAATTGCTAAACCGTCGAAATATACATTATTCACAAATGTCTTACACATGAAAATGTCGCAGGACAAATTATAGTGCGCGCCGGGATGCCGTAGGGTTTAGAGAGAGAGGCGGCGACACACGCAAGTTGGGAAAACTAACTAACTTTTACAAGAGGTAAGCAGCTTAACTGAAGACAACGCGGATATTAATGCCAATGAGACGAACGCAACATATTGTGATCCGACTCGACCCAAGCAGCACTCAACCCTCTGGATGGGTCGCCACAAACTACCAATACTGACCCCCAAGGACACTTGGGTTATGCCACCTGATGGCTAACCACATCGGCTGATTGGTCTGTTTGGTTGTCTGGCTTCACATACAAAAGCCAACTATTCACTTCCTTCTCCTGTCACTTAACTTCCCTGTCGTTCTTCTTACTTCCCTCCCCTATTGTGCCTCCTCCCACCCACACCCCCCATGACCCACTTCATTTTCCACCCATTTTCCCTGCACTACCGTCAACTCCCGCCCCTTTACTACCGATCATTTTCTCCCTTGTCATCTCCCTTTCACGTGTCCTCTGCTCCTCTGTCCTCATCCTCCCCCCCAGCCTGTCCTCATCCTCCTCCCCCAGCCTGTCCTCATCCTCCTCCCCCAGCCTGTCCTCATCCTCCTCCCCCAGCCTGTCCTCATCCTCCTCCCCCAGCCTCCATTACACTCGACTCTCCACCACACACCAACCCGGAGCTAGTAGGCTGAAGGAGAGCGCTATAACCCATTATAATTCAGAGTCGTGTTGGAGGGTGTTAGAGGGAGGGGATGGAGTAGGGAGTAGGAGAGAGGAAGGAGGAGAGGGGGGGGGGTAAGGGGTGCGAACCGGTGATACGGAGTTGTAATAAATCAAAACCTGGGACCCCATTTCCCTCATCCATACTTATTACAGGCAAGGAGGATGTGATTCGTTATGATACCTACAACAAGACTTAATAATCCCCCCCTTCCCCTCCCGACCGGCCCCTGCACACTATTACAGACCTTGTGTACCCCGGTCCTAGAGGTGGAATCCCCGTGGCGCATCTATATTTTTGATCATGGGGGCGGTGCAGGCGACCCCCGCTCGCAAGGCAGAGCGAGAGAAGGGCCACATCCCCGTGCACCCACGACCTGTTTTCATCCACAGGAACTAAACAGGAAGAACATGTATTGTTAATATGCTTGTACGGAGAAGTTGAATAATAAGTTCCAATACGATAACACAATGTGCCTTGGATTCAGGTGGATGCCCTTTCACCGGGCGGACACAAGGGCATATTCACAGCGCCGAATCTAATGCCGAAGACCAGTGTGAGGCATACAATGGTGGCATAAAATATATCACCCCAGACCTTGATGAAATGGCAGGAACGGGACAGCCCGCGTGATGGGGAGGGGATGGGGGGGGGGGTTCATTCAGAGGGTGGCTGGGTGGGCGGCTCTGTGGGGGGTCTGTGGGTGGGGGGAGTGTAGGGTGGGCGGCGCTGTGGGTGGGGGGGGAGTGTAGGGTGGGGGGGGGAGTGTAGGGTGGGGGGGGAGTGTAGGGTGGGAAGTGTAATGTGGGCGGCGCTGTGGGTGGGGGGGGGAGTGTAGGGTGGGGGGGGGAGTGTAGGGTGGGCGGCGCTGTGGGTGGGGGGGGGGAGTGTAGGGTGGGGGGCCTGTGAGTGGGAGGAGTGTAGGGTGGGCGGCGCTGTGAGTGGGGGGAATGTATGGTGGGCGGCGCTGTGGGGGGTGTCTGTGGGTTGGGGGAGTATAGGGTGAGCGGCGCTCAATTTTGTGTTTTTTTCTTTGCTTTCTGAGCGAGGCAGGTGGCGAGGAGTTGAGAGGAGCAAGCCGAGTCGTCATGAAGGTTGTAGGGAGATAAGAACGGCAACCATCACAGTGGCACACAAACTCTCACCCAAAGTGACATCAACAACAACAACAAACAACAAGGACAAATCGAGCAGCACAAACTCCACAAAACTTCACGTCAGCGACCAGGTAAATATCAACAATAAATCAAGTCAACACTACAAGGTGTGCACAACAAACAAGAACAACTAAGGCGGCGGTAAGAGCAAGACAATCACCAACACAACACACCAGCCCCATCACCACAACACCCCCCCCCCTCCCCCCTCCACACAGGGACTAACTACCACAGAGTCGGCGACACAGCTCTAACAAAGGAAGCCACTGATCAACAAGCAAACTACACAGTGAGAATCAGAAGCGCGCGCACGCAGAGACAGAGAGCGAGAGAGAGCGACAGAGAGAGCAAGAGAGAGCGACAGAGAGAGCAAGAGAGAGCGACAGAGAGAGCAAGAGAGAGCGACAGAGAGAGCGACAGAGAGAGCGACAGAGAGAGCAAGAGAGAGAGCAAGAGAGAGCAAGAGAGAGAGCAAGAGAGAGCAAGAGAGAGAGCAAGAGAGAGCAAGAGAGAGCAAGAGAGCGAGAGAGAGCAAGAGAGCGAGAGAGAGAGCAAGAGAGAGCGACAGAGAGAGCAAGAGAGAGCGACAGAGAGAGCAAGAGAGAGCGACAGAGAGAGCAAGAGAGAGCGACAGAGAGAGCAAGAGAGAGCGACAGAGAGAAGAGAGAGAGAGCGACAGAGAGAGCAGAGAGAAGAGAGAGCGACAGAGAGAGCAAGAGAGAGCGACAGAGAGAGCAAGAGAGAGAGCAAGAGAGAGCAAGAGAGAGAGCAAGAGAGAGCAAGAGAGAGAGCAAGAGAGCAAGAGAGAGCGACAGAGAGAGCAAGAGAGAGCGACAGAGAGAGCAAGAGAGAGCGACAGAGAGAGCAAGAGAGAGCGACAGAGAGAGCAAGAGAGAGCGACAGAGAGAGCAAGAGAGAGCGAGAGAGAGAGCAGAGAGAGCGACAGAGAGAGCAAGAGAGAGCGACAGAGAGAGCAAGAGAGAGCGACAGAGAGAACAAGAGAGAGCGACAGAGAGAGCAAGAGAGAGCGACAGAGAGAGAGAGAGAGCAAGCGACAGAGAGAGAGAGACTAAGACAAAAACCAAACAAGAGTGTGTGCCAACAGGACAATGAGAAAGCCCATGCCGCCAATATTTAACAGCCCGGCTGTCCACCTCGACACAAGAGCAAATCGTGTCGTCAGAAATATTTACCAATGTGCTTGGCCAAAGTCTCACATAAAGATATGTACAATATTTGTCTCAACTTTAGGTGCCAATTAGTCGCAAATAGACCCGGATAATTTACAAGTCAATGGACAGAGTTGAATAATAGAGGAACCGGGACGCTGGGCTGGGTGGAAGGCCCGCTGGATGGTGTCAATACCGCCGGTGTGCATCATGCCTCGTACTGCCTCCACCACGCTACCTGGTTCCTCTCCTGCCGAGGGGAGAGGCAGGGGGACGGCGCAGGAGGAGAAGACAAGGGGGAGGAGTTCAAAGGGGTGGGAGCGGGGGAAAAGGTGGGAGCGGGGGAAAAGGTGGGAGTGAGAGATGAGGGAGGGATATATATACATTAGGGAGATATAGGAAGGTTGGAAGGAAGGAGGGAGGGAGAGGACTTTATAGACAGGGGAAGGGAAGAACAGCGGAAGATAAAAAATGGAGGGAATAATAGAGGGAGGCCCAATGAGGGTGGGAGAATGGATAGAGCACAACAATAAAGGCGGCATGAGGAGAGAGGGAGAGAGCGAAGGTGCAAATTAGAAAAGGGGAAAATAGAGCGAGGATAGACAAAGTGGAAAGGTGAGACAAAAAAAAAGTTAGAGAAGTAATGTCGAGAAAGAGTTTAGGGGGGAAGAGGTGAAGATGGGAAAAACAAATGTAGAGGAGGAGCGGAAAAGGTCAAGCGCAGAAGGGGAACAAAAGAACGAGAGGGTGGGGGGGGGGGGGCAGGAGTGAAGGGGGAACAATGAATAGGAGGCTATGGGAATCCAGCTGAGTAGGCTAAGAGAGGTCAGGTCCGAGGCGAAAACAGCCAAGGTCACAAGGACTTGAGCCAGGCCAGTACTGGTGATGCATGTGCTCACTGGTCAGGTCAGGTCAAGACGCCAGTAGAATCTAAAGCCAAAGTCGAAATAAAATTATGGGGGTTATGATGACGTCACACACGGTTGGAGAAAAGGGCAATACGGATAAAAGGTCTACAACTGTCAGCTAAACCTGAGCGTCAGGTCCGTCAGGGCGGCTACAAGTGACAGCCAGGTAAACCCGCCAAGGGGTTACCTGGAAATTTAACACGGACATAAAATTTACGGACCCGAAGCGGAACTAAATTCCCATAACATGTATACACGTTAACGAGGCACGACGACGTGTTTCTGGCCTTGCGTCATAGGTCGTCGTCATCGTCACCGAGTTGGTTATCGTCGTCACCTAGCACCCCCCCCCCCCTCCCCACCGCCGTAGGCCATGGCATGTTGTGGAGATTTAAGGGATCTTCGTTGCTGCCTCCTGGTTGGTGGTTTGGGGCCTAATTCACGAAGCAGTTACGCAAGCACTTACGAACGTGTACATCTTTCCTCAATCTTTGATGACTTTGGTTATATTTATTAAACAGTTTACAAGCATGAAAACTTCCTAATCAACTGTTGTTATTGTTATAAACAGCCTCCTGGTGCTTCGGAGCTCATTGACTGTTTAATAATTGTAAACAAATTCGCCAAAAATTGAGGAAAGATGTACAGATTCGTAAGTGCTTGCGTAACTGCTTCGTGAATCTGGCCCCTGGTCAACCAGGCTGTTGGACGCGGCTGCCTGTAGCCTGTCGCATGAAGCATAACCTGCTGATCAGGTATCTTTTGGAGGTGCTTATCGCTTGAATACCTTGATAGGTCAGCCAGTTATGCCTCTTATGCGTAGCGGGAGTGTGTTTAACAGTCTCGGGCCTCTGATGCTGATAGAGTTCTCCCTCAAAGAGTACCTATTGCACCTCTGCTCTTCAACGGGGGTATTCTACACACCTGCCATGCCTTCTGGTCTCATGTGATGTTATTTCCATGTGCAGATTTAGAACCAGTCCCTCTAATATTTTCCAGGTGTAAATTATTATGCATCTGTCGCCTGGGCTGTTAGAAAATACAAATTTAAAACTCTTACTCTGTCCTAAAATTGTAGATGTTTTACTGAGTGGATTCTAGCAGTAAAGGATCTTTGCACGCTCTCCAGGTCAGCAATTTCTCCAGCTTTGAATGGGGTGGAATATTGTTCAACAATATTCCACTGTTGAACTAAAGAGAACTTGTGTCTTGAAGTGTATCATCACTGGTATGCCATCGACAGCTTAAAATGACCAAGCTCGTGCACAAGTCACCATCACAGTCTACCTGGCGCGTGCACAAGTCACCATCACAGTCTACCTGGCACGTGCACAAGTCACCATCACAGTCTACCTGGCACGTGCACAAGTCACCATCACAGTCTACCTGGCGCGTGCACAAGTCACCATCACAGTCTACCTGGCACGTGCACAAGTCACCATCACAGTCTACCTGGCACGTGCACAAGTCACCATCACAGTCTACCTGGCACGTGCACAAGTCACCATCACAGTCTACCTGGCGCGTGCACAAGTCACCATCACAGTCTACCTGGCGCGTGCACAAGTCACCATCACAGTCTACCTGGCACGTGCACAAGTCACCATCACAGTCTACCTGGCGCGTGCACAAGTCACCATCACAGTCTACCTGACACGTGCACAAGTCACCATCACAGTCTACCTGGCGCGTGCACAAGTCACCATCACAGTCTACCTGACACGTGCACAAGTCACCATCACAGTCTACCTGGCGCGTGCACAAGTCACCATCACAGTCTACCTGGCACGTGCACAAGTCACCATCACAGTCTACCTGGCACGTGCACAAGTCACCATCACAGTCTACCTGACACGTACACAAGTCACCATCACTATGGACGTCACCGCACGCAGTCCTCACCACCTGTGATACTCCCTCAGTACTCTGGCTACGCAACCCGTTCTCGCACTTGCTTATAGTCAATATCTTGCTTATGAATAAGTGCATATGTGACACACTAATTTATTGTCAATATTTGAGTTTACATTGAAAAGCTGAATAGAAAACCACAACCTAACCTAACCTTCTTAGTATGTTAAGATATTACAATTAGTACTGAACCTATGCATTTATTGATATTACAGTTTTATAAAAATAATAAAACAAAACTAAAATATTTAAATAAATTGTACAGTAACTCAGGATAGTCAAATTTTGTATAAAATCTCTATTGTTTAATAAAACTGAGAAAAAGTTAGTGCCTATGGCTTGGCCATATGTCACATATTTCACTTATAAATAAGTTAAATAGTGAATAAGCAGTAAGTCATATATGTGCTGTATTGTGCGAGAGCAGGTTGCACAGCGCTGACGGCGACTATGCCTCCTTGCCATAATTTCACTAGGACGATACAAGTCAAATTTCGTTATTATTTTGTACACGATGTTAGCAATATATTTAACTACTAATCATACATGCAAAATATCCCCTTTATATACACCTCCCCTCCACCTTCTCCCCCTTTCCCCCCTACCCCTTCTGCCCACAACCGTGGCAACATTGCCATGGAAGTGAATTTCACGGGCCGATGTGCCATGCTTCCGGTCAGATTGCCATGCAAGGCAGCCCCCAAGACACTGCCCCCACTCACCCCTCCTACCTAGGTTCCCCCACCACTCGACCTCCCACACTATCCCCTTACCTCTTCCACCCCCTCCCATTTTTACCCCCTACCCACCCCACAAGCACCGACCATTAGGACAGACAGTACACCCCCGGGTAATCTCCATAAAGTAAAAACCTTAAACAAAAATTAACTTCGGCATTTCGACAAACTATTTAAATGGGAAACAAACCCGAGGAGAAAATGTAACTAACATCTGTGTACCAACATCGCTGGCAGTGTAGTGGGGGGTCGGTCTGTGTACCAACATCGCTGGCAGTGTAGTGGGGGGCGGGTCTGTGTACCACCAACATCGCTGGCAGTGTAGTGGGGGGCGGGTCTGTGTACCACCAACATCGTGGCAGTGTACTGTGTACCACCAACATCGCTGGCAGTGTAGTGGGGGGCGGGTCTGTGTACCAACATCGCTGGCAGTGTAGTGGGGGGGGGGGGTCGGGTCTGTGTACCAACATCGCTGGCAGTGTAGTGGGGGGGGGGGGTCGGGTCTGTGTACCAACATCGCTGGCAGTGTAGGGGGGGTCGGGTCTGTGTACCAACATCGCTGGCAGTGTAGTGGGGGGTCGGGTCTGTGTACCAACATCGCTGGCAGTGTAGTGGGGGGTCGGGTCTGTGTACCAACATCGCTGGCAGTGTAGTGGGGGGTCGGGTCTGTGTACCAACATCGCTGTCAGTGTAGTGGGGGGTCGGGTCTGTGTACCAACATCGCTGGCAGTGTAGTGGGGGGGGGGGGGTCGGGTCTGTGTACCAACATCGCTGGCAGTGTAGTGGGGGGGGGGGGGGTCGGGTCTGTGTACCAACATCGCTGGCAGTGTAGTGGGGGGGGGTCGGGTCTGTGTACCAACATCGCTGGCAGTGGGGGGGGGGTCGGGTCTGTGTACCAACATCGCTGGCAGTGTAGTGGGGGCGGGTCTGTGTACCAACATCGCTGGCAGTGTAGTGGGGGGGGGCGGGTCTGTGTACCAACATCGCTGGCAGTGTAGTGGGGGGGGGCGGGTCTGTGTACCAACATCGCTGGCAGTGTAGTGGGGGGCGGGTCTGTGTACCAACATCGCTGGCAGTGTAGTGGGGGCGGGTCTGTGTACCAACATCGCTGGCAGTGTAGTGGGGTCGGGTCTGTGTACCAACATCGCTGGCAGTGTAGTGGGGGCGGGTCTGTACAGGCAGTTTAGTATACACCAAAAATAATATCCCCGATATGGTGAATATTTTTCAATAGACCATTCATAACTAAAGCGCTCCAAACACCGTGAATTAAAGATGGCACCATGATGGCACTCGATTTGCCCTACCACCGATATAAACAGCGACCAATGCAAACACCAACGAATTGCAAAGCGCGACCAATTGCAAACAACGACCTCACTAGTCTGCCTCGCTCCGCACACCCGTAACTTTTCTTCACAGATATTGATGACCAAATAATAATTATTGCGACAATAATAATAATATTCCAATTAAGACTCCCCGTCACTTCAACTGGAAATAAAAGAATGACTTATGCATATGCAATTTAATTAACAAATATATTAAAATCATCTGGAATAATCATTTACATACGACTCGCCAGTGCGTCATCGAAAGAAAAATAATCCCCGAATCGGATTGCTCAAACCAATGCCTGCAACAGTTGCAACT